CATCAATGTTTGCTTAGATCTCATTAGTCTAAACTAACATATTTCACAACGCGTGTTTTAATAAATTTGCATTGCAAGCCGTGCGATATTCACATGCATGAAGTGGCGGAAACTTCAATTATAGTCATACGTTCATTAACAGCACAATGACTGAAGTTATTTTTAACAGGCCGGGTTTAAAGAGTTTGTGGCCCTAGTTTTTTTTTTCTTTTTTTTTTCTAGAAGAAGTGGCAAACGAGCATGCGGCTCACCTGATGTTAAGTGACTGCCGCCGCCCATGATCAACCGCAACACCAGGGGAATTGCAGGTGCGTTGCCGGCCCTTTAAAAAGGAGTAAGCTCTTTTCTTGAAGGAAGGTTAGTTGTTACAAAGCTTGAGTACTGTCGCGTGCTTCGGTTTTGTACGAATCCCCACAGCGACAATAATTCCTACGGTAGATGAGTTGTTGGCTTCCAGGTCTGGATGTGTTAATATTACTTCTGCATCTCTGAGACTGCATACAGCAAAAGCATCGGATTACAGATGGGCACTTGAGTATATCCTGCGCTGTTGCTAAGTATTTAAATGTTACCGTTTAATTTAATAATATTTTAAGATCTTGTCTAAAAAAGCAAGCCCCGTACATAAAGAGACTGGTGGGTTTTTTTAAACTGCTTTTATGGGACTTGACTAGTAATATTATACAATCAGGCATAGTTGCTTTTATTTTAATACTGTTTTAAACCGGTAAGATAGAAATAGACTGTATAAAGGATCCTGTTTATGTTACCGATGCCGTTCTTTGTTAAGGTATGCTATACGTACTAAGTTTTAAACTATGGTATAAAAGAGTATTTATTTTTTAATTTATTGAATATTACCTAAGAATATACAATTCAGTAGTTCAAGGATTTAAATTTCTTTAAGTAATAACGAATGAATTTAAAAATTCTTATTTGCTTTGCACACTGACGCGTAACTTGAAGATAAGTACCGAGGATTATAAGTTAAAATACGTAGGGTATAATTAAAAAATGTTTACACATACTTCTAATTTGTTTGATATTTGCTTTGTATGATTGTGTTTACGGAAAAATGAATTCAGCACAGTGAAAATAAATACATCATTTCAATACTTATTTGTTGCCTATGTATTAAATTATAATAACGTTAATATCTTACTTATAACAATTATAAATATGAAAGTTTGTAGATTTGTTTCTCAATCACACGTAAGGGAATGAACGTATTTTATTCAAATTTGGCACTGAAGTAGATTTTTTTTATCAGGAAATAGAACATAGGATACCCTTTCTTCTGGAAAAATACAAGTACTTCGGTATTTCACATGTTTTTGAAAAGCTACATTTTATATTTAAGGAATTTATAACAAGTTTTTTCACTCCATGCAGCGTCAGAAGTGATTTTTATATTAACTAGGTACACAGTTTATTGTAATCTGTGGTATTGTAACTAAAAGTTTAATTTTAATCAGCGATCCAAAATCATCATTCCTCGAAGTGTGACTGTGACATAATATACCTACCCCTTTACCATAACTTATCCATTCTTGTGATAGTGTAAACATGACATGACCTCATCATGCAGATGTGATCAAATTTAAAGTTATAACATGCCATGAAACTTAAGAAGAGAAAACAATTATAACTTTTAATTTTAACCAAAAGTAAGAGCCGATTTCGAGTTGCTAAAATAGAAGTTATTTATCTGCTACCCCTAGGGGTGGAATTATTTCTCCAAATCACATATGGAACCACCCCTGAAGACCTATATAATAAAAAAGAATCATCAAAATAGGTTCACAGTCTACAAAGATATCGCGTAACAAACATACAAAAAAACGTCTCGTATAGAGAACCTCCTCGTTTTTGAAATCTGTTAAAAATAAATAAGATAATAAGTTTTTAGTGGTCAGTGTGCCTGCTTACTGACTTGCGAGCCCGAGTTTCGAATTCCAGATAAAGCCAATATTTGAGAAATATATTATTTATTTTATTTGCATGTATTATTATCTCATGTTATTGTAACGTATTTCTTTGTTCACGGAATTGTAAAGATGAATAAGTTTCTCTTTATGTGCGTTAAAAGGACACGAAACCTTATTATTATAATATATCATTCAGTGCAATAGAGGTCCTTGGCGAAAAACAACGACGGGCGTAGATAAAAGATATACATCGTCTTTGGAGTCAAAAAAAACGAAGGAGGAAAAAAAAGACTTGTGAAAGGCCATAATTAGGAAGACATCATATAGAAAGCAACCATTGTCATTGTTTTAACAAAAATCTACAAGTTATTTTTTTAACAAATAATATGGACGAACGAACATTCGACTAAAGCAAAACATCACAACTTTGACCTGTTCTTCAGACGTAGCGATGTACATAATATGTATTATTTACTCTGCTCGATAATCCAAATTTAGCCAGCATTCAGCAAAGTGCTTCTTTTTATTTCTTACTTCGAGTAGTGTTTAAAATTAGAGCTGAATGTGTCACTTGTTTTTTTTCATGTCACATATTAATCCATATGAGACAAAATTTGTTTTCGGAATACATTTTCGTATTTTTTTTTAGTTTTTTGATTTAAAAAAATTGACGCTTAATAAATTAATAATCTTTTTAACACGTTTTAAGGCTAGTTAAAAAACGATTGTATTTTGATGAAAAACTAAACGTTGAAAATGAATGAAATATCGTCGTTGATGTTATAGCTATTTATTAAAAGTAGAAACAATTATATCTGTATGATATTATTTAAATGAAACTATTTACCTTTGTGATCAAAGAGGTACCACTAGGTATTAACCTTATTTAGATTATGCATATGTTTATGAACATATTTTGAAAAACAAAAAATATCTAACTGTAAACGTAATGCTTAAACCTCACTTTCAATACTAATTGATGATTATTCTTGAATATAACTATTTCTTACGGATTGAGTAATTTATTTTATTTTCGAGATTTCGAATAAGTATTTTGCAGCACCAATTTTTATAAGGAGATTGAAAAATTTAATCTTTAATATACTGGTAAAAAAATAAACCACGGCTAACTTCAGCTCTAAATTAGAATAACATATTTTCCCCAAAAAATAGAATTGGTATTTAGATATTTTTTACGTTTTACGTTTATCTTTCGTTTAAATATTTTCTCCATTTTATTTGACTATGATCTTGTTATATTTTAAACGAAAACAATCACTAATCAAAACGTCATATTGTAATATTATATTATAATATCAGTTTTATTCTTTTACAGACAAAGGCAATACAATAAGACAAAAGATAAATCTCACTTTACAATAATTGATCGACTTGAACAAGCAATTATTTAATTTCGTTTGATTATCATTTAGTATTATCTGTGAATGACATTTTTAGTTTATCAGACAAATAATTAAAAATGGGTACCTATTTGCTATTGGTTGCTCTAAATATAACAGCTCCCATCACTCGTATTACAAAAACTAGTTATCTGTGGTCATGTGTTGCGATAACTTGGATCATTTAACACTTTCATTCAATCAGTCGCGAGTGCAATGAACATTTATCTAGAAAACGCAGCATATCGATTCGTGTGTACTCCCGAGAATCAATTTTTCTAGAATTTAAATATCGTTAGCGTTACAGCGTATTTAAAGTCCACTGCTGAACATAGGCCTCCCCCAAAGATTGCCTCATTTTGCCATACTTGGCACGCTTGGCAAGCGGGTTGGCAACCGCAGGGTTTTTTTTAGTCGTTATTAGGAAGATGCTGCTGACCACCTCCTGATTTGCTTCCCTCTGTCGTGTTTTACTTCAACCACTGGATGATTCGGGCTATTGGATATTCTTACACCGCCACTACACGAATAATAATAATAATAACAAACAAAACAATCTTATTTTCAGAGCTACTGCACAAAAATGGATTTTGTTCTACTACCCTATTTTAATAAAGTTAATTCTTATTCATCTACAACGATTCCTGTGTCCATTGAAAAGCGACAAAACATAAAACTGCCATACAGCAAAAAAAAAAACAAAGTATAGATATAAGTTTTCTCCTGCAAGTATAATTTTTATTCAAAATAAGCAAATGGTTATGTAAAATATTTTTTGTAATGTTATAACATGATAAATTTCTTATTTACACACTTATATCACTTGTAGGCAAAACAAAATAAGTTTGGAATTAATTTATCAAAAGCAAACATGCCACGAACTTACGATTTGGTTCACTGGCATAAGTTGCTATCATTAACGGTCGTACTACTCGTATTCGTGTGATTTTCTAGTTTAAAAAATTTTCGAATTGCGTTGAAGCTAAATCGCAGATAATAATAGACCGGTATTTGATTAAAATCCCCACTACATGTGGTGATGAAACTTTCGATGGTAAATGATAGAAAACCTGCTTACTTCAGTGTCTAATACTTTGGTAATATTTTTAAAAGTTGTCATGATCATGATCAAAGATGATGTGTTATTAATTAGTTTAAATTAATAATAAATTAAGCTCTCGAATAGCGGGTATTGTTAGTATATTCTACTTTAGAGCCCAGTGAACTGCGCAAATTGTAGGTAGGTACTTGAAGTAACATTTATCGTTTAAAAATAATTTATTATCATTAATTTTCGAATAGATATGAAAATGAATTTAGCACAGTATATATGCAATAATTTACTTAAACTTTGTAACATATAGCACATACGCTTTTAATGAACTTATTATTTTTAAATTTATTCTTGCAAATTCCCTTTGCAGGTAGCGCATAGACTGCTTTTATTTGATTAGAAACAAAAACAGTAAAATTTATTGAAAAAATATTTTAGTTAGCTATATATTTTACACTTATTGGTGGGTAAAACAAAAATAAGCTTACTTTTATATGAATTTTTAAAACTTTTAGAAAACAAAATAATTCTATACTACAAATAAACATTAATAAACGTTATAGATGCACTTGTAATTTTTCTGATTTCGTTATTTTTGTGGTAACACGAAAATCTTACCTTCATTTTTTCTAAAGTAACCGCACACAATGTGACGCGCTGGGCCACATTAACCAACTGCACTATAAGCTATAAACAACTGCTCTATGAATCGATTTATTTTAAATGAGTGTAATATTTATTATTTCGATTCTCGATTATTGTTAGCTATAGAGAAACGATATCAACGATTGTAGAAAGAATACGCGTCCGTTATATTCGCTGTCCCGATCGGAATAAACAGTAAACATCAAACATTGCTTTTGCCTCCGTTTTTCAGTTTTGGGTTTGTTTTTATTTGTGATGTTGTTAAAATATTATTGAAAATTCTCCTTAAAATTCTGATATATTTAATTTACATCTTAAATACATAAATTGTAATAAAAAGCTAATCACAACTTTAAAAAATTTAACTTTTTAAACTTAAATTTTTTACGGATTTTATCGCGTAACTTATTTTATATTTTCGACGTTTCGAGCACTTTACAGCACCCATGGTCACGGGGAGGACTGGTTTTATTTAAAAGTTCTGTTTTTAAACTTTAAAACTTTTTCATTAAAAAAATAGTTCATAGCGGCATACCCACTTCCGATGAAATCATAGACATACACGACCATAAGTGTAATTTTTTTAAATTACATAATAGAAAGACGTGGCAATGAGCCAGACATAGACCATAGGCTTTTTGAGTATTAAACCAAACCACAGGGATAATATATTTCTTTAAGGTAAGTTTCTTAAAAAGCTTACTAAGACCCGATTAACATTTTGAGAAATGACAAGTGCGAGTGGCAAGTGCAACTGACAAATGACAAATGACAAGTGCTTAGTGCGTGTGAATAGGCAATGACAAGTGATAAGTGGAAATAAAATACGCACTTGTCACTTCTCACTTCTCACTTGCCACTCGCACTTGTCACTTTTCAAAATGTAAACCGGGTCCTAAGAAACGCGCTTTCTATATTTTTTCTTGCAAAATTGAAATTGCGTTACTTTCTCTGCTGACTATCACTACTCTTTGCGACAATTTTACTGTAAAACTATGAAGTGTAGAAGTAAGGAGGACCAACTCCCATAGTATAATAGTTGAAAAAATGGCCATCTGTGAGCAGTAAATAACAGCTCAAAAACTCTCCACAACAGCGCTGGAGTAGCTACTGGAATGAAATGAACTTAGCAGTTATCGATGTTTGAAGTGTGCTGCTAAACTGCTCAGTAGCTCTAAAATCTAAAATAATTTTATTTAGTAAATATAACCTCAAAAAAGTCGTCTATCCCACTAATATTTTTCGGCACCTTCTTTAAAATTTAGCCCGTAGCTATAGTGGCGCCACCCTTATTTAACGGTTTTCTATGGACACTTTTTAATACACAGTCTGTACTCCTTACTTCTACACTCCATATGTAAAACCTTTACCACCAGATATTAAGTGTTTGACATTGGTAGTCATAACGTAAACAAATTATAGACTATTATGTGTTTGATATTGACAATATTAACGTAAACAATGACCGTTTTATTTTATTTCATTTAACGTAATGTTACACACGTTCATGTAAGTTTTAGGTATCTGCATTCCTTCTTCATATAAACTTTTCCGATGCCAAATCTCTCACTCCTCATTGCGCGGAAATGCAGATGCGTTGTTACTAATAATCTCCCGCTCACCAGATGTCGCTAGTTGACACTGAGGTGAAGTTTTTGTTACATAATGTCGTTTAATTGAGAAATTAGTTTTAAATAAAATTTTATTTTGTATCTAGAGTATTATATACACAAAACAATGCCACTGAGGCTTTAGAGAGGATAATAGATAAAGATATTAAAAAATATATTGAGTTGAACAATTGATATTTTGAAAAGTTATCGTGTTTACCCCTCGATGCGGACTTGATAAATCGACACCATAAGTCACTAAAACCACTTTTTAATGGAAAAATAGCAATTAATCGATAAAAAAAATAAGTTCAACAATCATTTATCTTTCTGACAATGTGCTTTTTATTTCATTTATACGATATGATTGTTAGATACGATTTCATGCGACAAAACGTCGGATTCCTGATTTTTAGGCCCTATAGTTTGACCGTTCAGAGAATGCGTTCCTGACACGTCGCGATTGAACTGACGACGTAACTTTGTAATGAACGCCATTACGCAGAACGCAGTTACGATAAAAATATTTTTGCTGGTTGTTTACCGTTTTAACAATTGATGAGCATTAAAACAACATTATTATATCAATAATCAATGAATGTTATAATTTTGGGCCAAACTGAGTGTCAAATAACTTGGTAAACAATATTTTTCTAAATCTCTACTGCGCTATTACAAGGTTATGTCAGCGCTTTATATTTGTAGTGCTGTGCTAACAATAACAGGCAATAACAGTATCGTAATCTGTTCTTATACAGTTATACTTTATAAAATAATACGTTTTGTTTTTCTTTTTAAGAATTTGAAAATAATGGACTATAAGATAACTTTTATTAAATATAAAAATAAAACTACGACCAAACCGAACGCGCGAAAGAAGAGTAGCATTTTTATATTTAGGTTGAAAATGGTAACCCTAAATGGCGTTATGGGCCGCCATTTTGTGACGCTAAAACAGTCGTCTGTTGTCGTTTCGTGCGCATAGACCACGTTCTTCAAGTGTTTTCGATCTGTTTTTATTTCATTACCCAGCTTTCGTTTAATGGACTGTTTCTGCTTTTCAAACTGACATCGGCGCTAAATCGGACTTCGATTGTGTTTTGTATTGCGTTCTTTTTACTTTTTGTGCATAATAATGCCTAAACGTGGACAAACATTGAAAAGTGGAGCCCGTGAGTTAATCATCAAGCTGCAAGATTACTTTGAGCAGGAGCGACAAAATGGCGGACCCCTGTTACCTGTCGAACAAGTACAAGAACGCGTCTCTCAGGCGCTTGGAGTTAGCAAACGAACGATAACAAATATTAATAAAGAAAAGTTCGGCTCTACTGGCACGGAAGATAATATTTTACGTACTCCGAAGAAGAAACGTAGAACTAAACTCTTGACAGATATTGACACCTTTGACGCCGATGCAATCATATATATGGTTACTATTCCAGAAATGAATATCTCAACAGGAAGAAGCTTTTGGCATCGTTAAGAGAAGCTGGACTGTTTAGCGGGGGTAAAACTGCTTTAACCGAAATCTTAAAAGATATTGGTTTTTCGTATAAAAAAACAGAGAAAAGAAAAATTTTATTAGAACGTTACGACATAATTTTAAAACGGATAAGTTTTCTGAGAGAAGCAAAAAATATTGATAACTGGGATAATGTCGTGTTCATTGACGAGACATGGCTAAACGCCAATCACACGGTTTCCCGTTCTTGGACGTATGATACACAAGCGTCGACGTCGAAAGTACCAATGGGTAAGGGGGCCCGTCTGATAATATGCCACGCAGGTTCTGCAAAATACGGCTTTGTGGAGAACGCGTTACTGGCATTTCAATCAAAAACCACAAATGACTACCACGAGGAAATGAATGCCACTACATTTAAAGAGTGGTTCTAGAACGTGCTTTTGCCCATTCTTCTGTAATATTCATAGATAATGCCTCCTATCACTCGGTTCAAATACAGAAACCACCTACCCAAGCTAATAAAAAAGAAGAAATGGTGGCTTGGTTACAAGCAAAAGGCATTGACGCAAATATACAGATGCTAAAACCAGAGCTAATTAAATTATTTAAAGAAAATAAAGCGGCAAATGTGCGATACGTAATCGATGAACTGGCTCTGGAGTACGGTCATCGCGTTCTAAGAATTTCACCGTATCATTGCCAATATAACGCGATTGAGCTAATCTGGGCTCAAATAAAAGGTTACGCCGCCCGCCATAATACTTCCCCGCCATTCAGCACGAAAAAGATGATGACCTTATTAAAAGAAGCCTGCGTGGAAGTCACAAGAGATGACTGGGCAAAGGTTGTTGAGAAGACTAAAAACCTGATTGTGGAACATTTTGACCGAGATATCAGGATTGATTCTGTTATTGATAATAATATAATTATACATGTAGGCGAAGATGATGATAAAGACAACACTTCCTCAAGCGAATCGGAGTCTGATTAATATTCTGTACGCACATTCAATTCAATGTACTTTATTGCATAGAAGTACAGATTGTAACTTTGTAACAAAGAATAAATATGTAAAACAATTTTATTATATTAATATTACCTTTTTTGGTTTCCACTTAAATTACTAAAATATAAATTTTAAATGATTCCGCCAATTTAAAACGAAAATAATCTTAAAAATAACGCGGCGGTTCATTTTGGAGGAACGGTAACGAACTCAGTGTTATGTTGTGCCCATCACTAGTCGTGACTAACTGATAGGTGTCAGGAACGCATTCTCTGAACGGCCGAACTATAGTACGAGTAGAACATACCTATGCGCTTTGCGCTTAAGACTTTCAAAATCGAAAGATACTAGTATAACCTTAAAATTTCCGGTATCGAAAATATCTCATTTTTCAACCAAGTTCAAAAAGGGAGGATGTTCTATATCCTACGTTTTTTTTAAAGTTTATTCACAGATTTTTTGAAAATGGCTGCACTATTTCAGGGGTGGTTCTGTATAGAGAAAAAGTTCTACCCCTAAAGGTAGAAAATAGGTGATGAAGACGAAATTCCAGTTGTTACCTTGAGCTTGTGTTATAATTAGTGCCTCGAATTGACTGCCTCGTTGTTCTAGCGGTCCTCAGTGTGACTGCTGATCATGTAGTCCCGGGTTCTAATCCAGGGTTGGACTAAAAATCAGTTTTGAGTTTTTTTGAGTAGCAGTCCGAAGTCAGAAAATTGGCTTTGTTTCACCCCCATGCCTCGGAAAGCACGTAAAGCTGTTGGTCTTATGCCTATCTCGCTATGACCTTCGACTATGAGAGACCCTCAAATAGGAATAGAGTGCAACTGTGTTTGTACACATGTGCACAATAATCTAGGCCTGCACAGAGACTACTCCATTAAGACTGGCTGATCTA